GGGGGGGGGTTCTGTTTTTTTGTTTTTGCATGTTAAGCATCAGCTTCTATGGGATACATTTCCAGAATGGTTTTGTTACCACTTTATAAACACTCCAAGCCAAACAAATAGCACAAATAACATCAATGTTGTCTTTTTTCCAATATCTGTATCAATTACCAGAGGCTAATCCTAACATACACTATTTAAGGGGAGGCAGGAAAAGAAGAGAATCATGACACATTGCAAAGATAGGACTACAGCATCTTAGATGTAGGGATGATCTTAAGGTGCAGAAAGAGGGGACTCTCTAGAAGGTGATGGTGTGGTTTCTTCAGGTGGAAAAACCGTGAGTGTGCAAGCTCGTATGCCACCAAGGGACTCTGGGAGATCAAAAACCTTATGCCATTCATCTTTATCTGGATCATATTTCTGCACTATCTCTACCATACAACGATTATTCCAGGAATACCCACCTACCACATAGATTTTATTTTCAAAGACAGCAACCCCAACATCACTCTGCCCTCTTAACATGGCAGCAATTGGGGTCCACTGGTCAAGTATAGGTGAGTAGTATTCACAGCTTAGGACATCATCATAATCACTTGTTCCTCGGAAGTGATTGCCACCAATGACATAGAGCCTTTCCCCCACTGTACACATGCAATGCAGACCTCTGACAGTGGTCATTGGCGCCTTCTGGATCCATTTGTCAGTATCAGGGTCAAAGCACATGAGCTCCTTTTGGAAAGTGTCATGAGTAATTCCTCCTAAAGAATGAAAACAATAGACATGAGGTATGCAGATTATTATAAAAATGCAAAAGTAAATAAAAGGCTCTCTTGTCATAGATAATTAACTTCTAGCCTCAATTATGACATTTTATAGCTTATCTATAGTATTCTTATAAATGTCTGCACTCTATAAGTACTTTCCCTGGATTATAAAGAAAATAATATTTTTATCTTCTTAAAAAACAAAATATAGTTTATATTATTGCAGTAACTTTCTCAAATAGAGACGCATCAAATTTAAGAGGCTTTACTGAATGAAAGTAAATTTTGCTCACTTTTAGAGTTCAGTCTGCAGTAAATTCCAACTACAAAGCATCATTCACTCCTAATACTTTTTAGCAGGCACCCTCTGGGTGCTGAGCACAGGGCTGGAGCATTTAAATTCTAGGTGCCCATTTCCTCACTTGCTAAATAAGAATATCTACTCTAATTATTTCATTAGGACTGTAACTATGACTACGAATTGATATAAATCAAAATACTTTGGAAAAGTTGGAAGTGTGCAAAGTACAAGTGTAGAAAAATATTCAGAACTGTTTGTTTTTGTAGAGTTCTTGGTGGCTGGGGTGAGGGTGGGTAATGTCATGTCCTATCAGCATGGACATTTACAAAGCTAAAAACTTAAATTGCTGAATATATATGAAATTTTGTATGTTCAACAGTTGGTTGCTGATTGATTGAGTTGATATAATCTACAAAGTGTATTCTTAGATCACAAGTAAATCAGTCTCTACAATAAAAGAATCAGACTGTACATTCTGCAGATTAGGGAGAGAACTAAACTAATTTTCAGCCATATCATTCACAGTTCTACTCTTTAGTGGCCAGATGGAAATCACTGTTTTTACTTCTGTCTTTTAATATTTTTTCTGTACTTTACAGAATTACCAGAAAGCAAAAGTGTTCTTTGGTTTGAAAAATCAGCTATGGTTCTTACCCTACTCTTGATTGTGAAGGTCATATATGCAATCTATGCTAGCCATGCCAAATCACCACTACAACAATTCAGATGTCATTTCCCCCCAGCGGATTTAGAGCTCTCATTATAATGGCATAGCATCTACACACAGAAAATAGGTAGCTGGTATAAATCTTTGATTAGTGGAGCATATTATTTTCTGGATGACCCAATATAAGACATCCCATAGTCGCTCATGAATTTAACACCAAAACCTGCCAATCACACATTCCAAGATTTTCACTGATCCTTCTTAATTACAGATTTCATAAGGCAGTGTTCAGAGACTGAGACAACAAACATCACCTGAACACCTTTGTTCTCATAATGTAACTGCTGGCCTGGCACTGGCAGGCCCTCAAAAGGGGGACACACTGTCTGACGTAGTCTGTGTCTGGGCTAAATAAGAACCTGCCTAAGAAAGAAAATTTGAATACTAGAGGTGAATATTACATTAAAATAAGACTTTTATAAATTCTATAGAAGGATGATTTAAATATCAACAGTTTGAGACTGTAAGTTGTTAGTGGGACACTGTAAGCAAACTGTAGCCAGTTCAGAATTATTAGAAAAATATATGTGCATGTGACCAAAATACATACATCTTTTAAAATCACTGTAAATTATATTTTGATTATCCATTTTCTAGATTATTTTTCTTAACATTATATAGAAAGATGGTGACAGTTAATAGTTTATGTATTATATTAATTATATTTGAATCATAATTGTTTACCTGAAATATACATTACTCCTCCATACACAGTTCCAGCATGGCCATAGTGAGGCTCACTCATTTTGGCAACGTAGGTCCATTCATTTGTTCTTGGGTTGTAACATTCCACTGTAGCTGTTGTTAAAAAAAAAGAAAGAAAAGAATTTATCATTTCAAATTTAGCAATTAATTATTTTTTAGGTGGAACAACAATAATATCCAAATAACTGAAACATATCTATTTTAGGTATGAGATATTCTTTGGGGTCTTATATTAATGATTTAGGTTATATTAATAATTTGAATCATTAATACATGTTACATTAGACTAGATACTTAGTGTAATAATCTAACACATTTCTGTCACTGAAGAAACCACTAGGATTTCTTTTCTTCTTGTATCTTTATCATTTGACATGTCTTCCATTTTTAAAAATGTGGGAAGAAAAGATTTAAAAAATCATGAGGAAAAATATTTAAATTCTAGGCTCCCATGTTGATGCACCATATAGAAAAAAAAGGTTATTAAATATAAAGCAAAATTTTAAGTTGAGAATAAAAATATGTACACTGCCTGGTGTGTGTTCTCATGCTTATTGCTTTATTTCATACCCAGACTACAAAATGGACACTGACAATAATTTTTCTACATCTATACATTAAAGCCAATAGTTTGTATATACCCAACACTGTTGCAGCCAGTACTGCTCTTAACTTGAAAATGATTGGCAGCAAAATATGAAGTGAAGATTTTTATTAGGGGTACTTCCTCTCAATAATAAATTTAACAACTTTAACATAAAGTATTTTGGAAAAGTGACCTCAACTTATTTAAATATCAATTTGTTATAACCTCAAAAATAGAACAGTGACAGTCCAAATAGTAAATGTGAGCCTCTTTTAAAAGCACAAAGTCCAGGTTGACTTGAAAAGTTTATAAGATTTTTGCAGACACTGCTGGTTGCTAACCCAATTCCTTGTCTCCCCCAACACTGCTTTTTTCTTAGTAACAGAACCATAACACTCTCAGGGAAGTGCTGTGCCAAATTTAAAATAAAATTCAAATTATGAAGTTCCCTTGAAGCTGGAGTTGATCATATAACATAGTTCTAGATAATGAAACAGAAGTAAAAGTCTACTGAGTGGGGCTATTTGATCAAACCACTAGAATAAGGTTTTGCTACTTGCAGCCAAATGAAATTCTCACTGATGAATCAGCCTTTGAACAAAGTTTCCTATTAAAAAGATAACAGGAGAACAGGCAAAACTAGAGAGATGGAGAGAGAGAATAATTTTCTACTCTATTCAATAATTTCATTTCTTCATCAAATTCAGTATGTGAAGTACTTAATTCTCCTCTAACGACACCTTTTATTAATTTCCTTTTCCACTTAGTTTGGATTTGAGTTTTCAGTCTTATTTCAAAGGCTTTTACTATTCTCATTCTGATCCACTCCCTTGTTGGTTTTGTTCTTTGCTTCAGGCTTAGACCCTTACCAACTCTATTTCTTCTAAACCCTTCCATCAACTAGCCAAATCCTGCAAAATCTTTCCCCCAAATAAGGGGGTAATTTTTCCACAATTATTGGCGAGCTAAAACTGCCATATATCCCAGTACTGTTTTTTACTATGTCCAGTCACTGATGTCTTTTTAAATGTGCATTTCCATTTGCCTTTAGCATGACTCCGATCTACTTGACAAGCAAGATCCAACTGAATGGACATTATCATCTCTCTCTCTCTACACTTATAGAAAATCTAGTATATTGATTGATCAGCAAAGTAATTAATGGTAAGGTTTTAGCTGATAAAAAGTAGTCTAATCACATCCTATCAGTAAAAGGGTTTTAAAAGATGTCCAGAGATCACCTTTCCCACCTATTTGAGGCGAAAGACGGGTTTTATTATAGTTCTATATTTTTCTTAACAAAGAATTCTACTTTGAACTTTGAAATTTCTAGAGTGAAACAGTCTTTCCTTATGTCTAATTCAATCTGTTTTGATGCAGTTTTGAAACTAGTTCCACTAGTTTCCTCTTATTCCTTTTATACTGAAGCTAGAAATTAAATAGCTATTTACTCTTTATGATCATTAAAATTTACCTCTGTAGAAAGATAAAGCTATTTTACTGTCAGTGAGTTAATTGTATCTTCCTAATAGAGGTTATAAGAATCATCTATATATACATCTTTACATATATAATCTATCTATACATATGTATAATTTCTCATACAGAAGCCCCTAAGTGTAAGATGACTATTAACCACCAATAACATAATAAATATATAATAGTTGATCATCCATAAACTTGTGTTCTTCTAGCTAAATAATCCATCTCCTTTAACTCTTCCCATCATTTAATCTTTAATTTCTTCATGCAGAATTGTTATTATTAGTAAAATCAATAATAGTTTTAAAACAGAATATATTTAATTAAAAAGTGTATATACATGCCCTTATTCCCATTTCCCATATTTACAAGGTGAGTGACACAACCTTGAGTGGATAGGAGGGGAAGCAAGGGATGATTCCAGGCAAGGAGCTGGAGCCACAAAGCAGTGGTTCCCTCATAGTCTATGACAGCTGGGGATGGTAATGAGGTAACTTGGAAAATCTAGAACAGGGATTCAGGCAAGCTACAGCTAGGAAGTCAAATCCAATATGCCATTTGCTTTTGTATGACCCACAAGATAAAAAAATCAATGGTTGTTACATTTTTAAAGAGTTGGGGAAAATCAAAGGAAGAATATATGAAAATTGTATGCATTTCAAATTTCAGTCTTCTTCTTACATAAATCTTTATAAATTGTCTATAGTTGCTTTTGCAATATAACAGCGAGTTCACTAGTTGTGAAGAGTTCCTATAGCCTGCAAAGCTGAAAATATATTTTCTGGCCCTTTACAGACGTTTGCTGGCCAGGTATTTAAAGTAGAGACCCTCCCCAACTTAAGAATTACACTCAGGTTGCCTGTTTCATATATATATTACTAAGAACCTTATTTCCTCAGGTGATTCCACTGGAGTCCAGAATTGGCCCAAAGGGATGATGTGGAACTTACTTATTCTTTGGGATTTCGAGAGAGATTAGGCCTGAAAAAAAACATTTGGACAATGATGGCTCCCATGGGG